CGCAATTTCAATTCTCTGTGTGTATGTGCTGTACATGTGGAAGAATTGACAATAAAGCAGACTTGACTTGACTTCTGTTAGAGCTTATATTATTTGTAACTATTATATTGTATATTTCTTCTTTTTTTACTGACTGTTCACTTGCCTTTAATCATGTTTGAATCTTCTTAGGCTATAGTTTTTGCTGTGGTGAAGTACTGAAAGTGTACTTTAAGTTATAAACGAAAAGCAAAGTTGTAAATTAAGTGGAATTAATTTTTTGTTGTTGTTTACTTTGATGTTAAAATTACATTTTTCAGATTTGTCACATTACTTTATATGTAGCCTAATGCTAAAACACCAAGAAAAAAATGTGAAACATATATATTGGTTATATAATTTTTCATCTTTTTAAATTTAAATTGATTTTACACACTTAAAAGTAATATTGTATCAAATGTCGCAGAATTTAACAAGGTATCACACAGCCCTAATAAGTAATATCGGATCTGGTTCAAAACGTATGTCAAACGCATCTGAAAAAACTGAAACATTGTTTCAGAAATGCAGTCATTTTGGACACAAAACATCTAAAAACTGACATTTGTCAACAGCAATAGCCAACAATACATTGTATGGGTCAAAATTACCAATTTCTCTTTTATGCCAAAAATCATTAGGATATTAAGTAAAGATCATGTTCCGTGAAGATATTTTGTAAATGTCCTACCGTAAATATATCAAAACTTAATTTTTGATTAGTAATATGCATTGCTAAGAACTTAATTTGAACAACTTTAAAGATGATTTTCTCAATATTTAGATTTTGTTGCTCCCTCAGATTCCAGATTTTCAAATAGTTGCATCTCAGCCAAATATTGTCCGATCCTAACAAACCATACATCAATGGAGAGATTATTTATTCAGCTTTCAGACTGGTTTTGTGCTCCAGGGTCACACATTGCATTACACTGACAGTTAGCTATGCTATCTTACCATAGCATCGGTTGAAGTAGCGTGTAAACAGTATGGTAAATGACCACGGTAATCATAAAATAGCAGAGTTTACCTCAGTAATGTGTTGAGTGGGTGACAATATTAAAGCAGAGACAGATAAACACACAATCCAGACTCAGACAGCAATAATCTGAGGTGAAATGAAGAGAATGAGAGGTTTGCCGATCGATCCGATCATCTAATGCGGATAATCGATCAAAGCCCACAGCTCCACACAAAGCCTCAAACATCGCCAGGAGCTTAATAAGAGTGTTTTGATGAGTGTGTGAGTGAGTTTGTGCGCTAAACGGCTGTTTGTGTCGACGCTAGCGAGCGTGTTTGATCGGCGGCGGTTAACGTTAACGTTAGCGGCGGTTAACACTCATCTCTGACAGAGAATAAACTCGACAAACACACTGACCTGAGGCTGCAATCATCAGCACGGCTCGAAGACTCAGAGACTCGCGTTTCTGCTCTTCATTCGTTTATTTTCTCGCATCTGTTCTTCACAGCTGCTGCTGCTTCAAGGCTGCCGCCATCTTGTTTACCTCCCTCCCCTCGCTGCACTGCGCATGCGCAGCGGGAAATACATTACATTTCATATAAAGATTATACGTGTGTAACACAGTTTATATTACATTGTACTATCACAGAAACATTGACTACGTTTGCACGCAATTATAATGAGATTTATGCAATACTGAGATTAAACTTTACCTCATGAAAACGATTAAACTACTATAATCGTGTTAAAATATGTGGCGCATGCCGATTGTAAGCCCTGCTTAAAAAACAAAACAATAGGATAGACACCATCACAAAATGTGTAATGCTTTTACTGGTTATAATGGGACTTGTATTGGTTTTAATGGAAACTGTAATGATGTCTAGCTACTGGTAGGCTACACTGCAAAAAGTGATCTTTTTACTTTGTATTTTTTCTTGTTTTCTACAAATATCTAAACATTCTTGAATCAAGATGCATTTACTTGACAGGTGAAATGACTTAAGATATTAAGTCTTGTTTTCTAAAAAAAACCCAAAACGATCAAAATGTTAGTTTTTGCTTAAAATGAGCAATTAAGATTACTTAATTGATTTTGAATTACTTTTCTTGCCCTATTGGCAGATATTTTTGCTCGTTTTAAGCAAAAACTAACAACATTTTGATCTCTCTCTCTCTCTTTTTTTTTTTTTTTTAGAAAACAAGACAAAATCTTACCTGTCAAGTAAATGCATCTCGATTCAAGAATTTGTAGTAGAAAACAAGACAAAAATACTAAGTAAGAAGATCATTTTTTGCAGTGTAATTGGTCAAACCAGTGTAATTTTTAAAACCAATACATCTTAATGGAATATGTCCCAAAACACACGATAGAAAACCATTTTTAATGGTTTTAGTGGTTAAAAGTTGATGGTTTGTAATGTTTGTAATGGAAACCATTAGAATTTTCTGTGATGGTTCTATTGTTTTTTTTTTCTTCCTATTCTTTTTTTTTTGTTTGTTTTTTTGCAAATATATATTTTAAATGAATGCTAAATATAAACAGTGCAGCTCAATGAAATATATTTCAGAAATTTTAGATACAGTAGTCAACAACTGAAGTGGATCAAAACAAGTTGTCCCAAGACAAGAACACATTTTGGTTTTAGGTTTTAGGACGACTTTGATGAAAAGTTTTGATCCACTTTGAATGCTGACTAGTGTGTATTGAGTTTCAACCTTTATACTAATATATATATATATATATATATATACATGTATATATATTTCAAAATGTATTTTAGGTGCAAGAAAATACGTTTGCAATCTTACACGAGACTAATATATTAAAATCTATTTTCAAAAATATACCTTGGTAGAAAATACATATTATGTAAATATATTTTTTTAACATTTTAGCAAATTTATTTTTGTATATTTTGAAATCTGTTTAAAAATCTATATGAAAATATATTACTAGCATTATTATTATTTGCCATATGAGTAATGGCACTGTTGTCCTCTACTGCTTTACAATTTATTTAAGATGAATTTTACAACATTAATTTAAAACGATGTTTATAAAGCGGAGAGTTCCGGTCCTTGATTCTGATTGGCTGAGCTGCATTCGAAGCTGTTGTAAATGACTCTACAAAGTAACACACCTTTGTTTACGTTTGTGTGTTGCTCGGCAACCACTTTGTAGCAACCACAACTGTTTCTGAGGCGCTACATTGTTTGGTGGAAGAATACTGTTTTTATTAATATCATTACACTTTATTTGCTCTGTTTTATTTTGTGAAACCTTACTACGCATATGGAATAACCGTGTTATAAAAGCAATAAGCCCCAAGAAGCCGTGGTTTACAGTGAATTTATAACAGCTAACTCCGCTTCGCGTCGTACCTAACAACACCCCTTAGCTGTTATAAATTCACTGTAAACCACGGCTTCTTGCGGCTTATTGCTTTATTAATGTGAAGCTGTTTTGGAACAATCTGTTTTGTATCATATAAAGCGCTACATAAACAAACATGGCATGAATTTACAGTGATGGCCAAAACTGTTAGAGCACCTGACAGATCTGAAAATATTGAGCTTTTTTTTTTTTGCCACCAAAACATGATTTAATTTCATGATGTTCATGAAACATGCAAAGGCTGCTCTGAGCACAACAAACATCAGATGAAGTGAGTCGTACGGTTTTTAACTTTAATATTTGTCCACCTTTTGCAGCGATTATACAGCAGCACAACTCTCTGGCATAGTGTCAATATATTTCAACACTAATGTTATCCCATGCCTTCTACAGCTCAACAGATCTGTCCAGTTTATTTTCCAACTCGCCCCAAATTTGCTCGATGGGCTTGAGGTCCGGACTTTGAGGTAATGTTATATTTTGGGTAAAAACAAAGTTAGAAAGTAGATAGAATCTCTCTCTCTCTGTTTAAAATCATTAAAAATGTTATCCTTTCCCAAGTGTCTTATGAAGTCCAAGACAAATTTCCCACAAATGGGACAATGAAGTGTACTGGGCTTGATTTAGAGGCAGACTCTCTAGTGGAAGCCTGTGTTGGCTCGGCCGGTGATGTGGGTTATATTTAACTAGTGTTAACCCTGTGGAATGTCAAACTCAAGCTCGGATTACAAACTCACACTCACTTCCCTCATCTTAACGAGCACAAACACAAACCACACAGCAGAATCTCCACAAGCGCAGACAGGTTCTCTTGAATTTCTTTGTAATTCTCATTAATGACGCAGCAATCGGAGTTATAATGTGTGTTTGTCCCTCAACTAATTAAGCTCTAGGAACTCACTAACCCGTGCCTTAACTAGCAGTGCTGGAGAATTCAGAGCAAATGCATGAATCAGAAGATCAACAACACAAAAGCAAAACCATTAATGTCATGCAAACCTCAGAAACATCACAAAAACTAACACAACTCATTAAATAACAATTAAACAACTCTAATACCTGCTGAGAATCATTCTGTCACTAACTTAACTCTGCTTAGACTTAATATGTATATATATATATATATTTCATATAGTTTAAGAGCTCATATAGTTTAATCTGAAGCTTAAGTCTCCATGATGTCTGTGGAAGAGTCAAACCTCAAAAACAGAAAACACTTTGATCAGATCTTGTCATTCAAACACTCTTCTCACACTGATCCAGAATCAGATGCAACATGTTTATTTTCCAAAGAACCACACGCGTCCAGAAATGGAGAGGGTTCTTGACTGAACATAAAAAACCAAACACATCGATGAACCTTTATCTGGAAGAGTCCAGTCTTCATGTTTAACTCTAGATCTTTGGTGTAGAATAAGCCAGAACATCTACTCACACGCGTGTCGTCTCGGTCATGATCATTGCTTCTGCATGTGTTCTTGGATTGTGTCCCTCATCAAAAGCTCATTACTAGAAGCTTCAAAAACATTTCACATGATCAGATACTGCATGTGTATTTGCTGATCCACAATGAGGAGGGAGAATCATTAGATGGTGTTTTAATCTAGCTGTCTCTCCTTCTAAGAGCAACATCTCTGAATCTACTGGTGAAGATGATTTCCCTTTCAAGGGAACTTCGAACTGCGTCCTCTAGGGGTCGCTATGGGGAATTATTATGGCGAGCACTAGCAGAGCGTTTAGAGGGTGTGTGCATCTGTGTCGTCGCTATTTGACACCTGATGACACACACGATTCTCTCGTCGGCTGTGGACGAGAGAGAGCCGCTGGAGGATGATGTTATCTCTTTGACATCATCTGATCCGGGGGCCAGTGCTCTGCTGGGTTTAGCCCAGGAAGAGCAGGAGATGTCTGAGGACGGTGAAGAGGCTGAGGCTGAGCCTTCCCAATCCTCCTGCCCTGCGTATGATGAGCTGTTGGAAGTTATGGATCGCGCCACGGCGAGGCTGGACTTGCCGTGGAAGCGGGCCAAGAAAGTGACGTCGCGAGGTCGCCTCGATGAGCGTTTTCTTTCTGGCCATAACCCTCCAGCTCAGGTGAGCCTTCCATTTCTTCCTGATTTGCATACTGAGATCGAGAAGAAATGGAAGAGGCCGTTTTCCTCATGCATCTATCAGTTCCAGCATATGAGTTATGCCAAGATTGAGGCGATGCGTGAAAGCGGCTATGAGAGGATGCCCCCTGTAGAAGAGATGCTGGCTAGCTATCTCTCTATGGGTGAGACGTCCTCCCTTAATACTCCCTCCTTGCCATCTAAGCCCCTTCAGGATACATCGCGCTTAAATGGCAGGGCATACGCAGCAGCAGGTAAGGCTGTGGCTTCGTTGCACACTATGGCGGTGCTCCAGGCGTATCAGGCTGATCTGCTGAAAGACCTGGATAAAAGCGAGGGCCTTTCTCCTGATGAGGTAGCTGAGCTGCCCGGCACCACGGATCTCGCTC